TTGGCCCGCGGCCCATGGACCGGCCAAAAGTCCGCCCACAGCCCGGGCGGGCCCGGCCCGGCCTGGCCCGTTGACAATGTGAATATTCACATTGACATATTAACATTCACATTGATAAGAGTGTAAAATTAGCCCGTGGCCCATGGACGGCCAAAAGTCGGGCCCGCGCCCGCCCGCACCGTTGACAATGTGAATATTCACATTGACATGTTAACACGCACATTGATAGAAGTGTAAAATTAGCCGCGCCCCATGGCTGCCCGAAACCCGGCCCGGCCCGTGGGTGGCCCGGGGCGGCCGGCCGGCCTGTTGACAATGTGAATATTCACATTGACATGTTAACATTTACATTGATAAGTGTGTACAATTGGCCCGTGACCCGTGGACGGCCCGAAGCCCGACCTCGGCCGGGGTGGACCCGGCCGTTGGCAATGTGAATATTCACATTGACATGTTACATTCACATTGATAGGAGTGTAAAATTGGCCCGCAGCCCGTGGGTGGCCCGAAGCCCGACCGCAGCCAGAGGCGGGCTTGGCTCGACGTAACAATGTGAATATTCACATTGACATGTTAACATTAACATTGATAGGAGTGTAAAATTTGTCCATTGCCCGAAGCTCGCCCACGGCCCGGGGTAGGCATGGACCCAAACCCGGGCCACCCATGGGACGCGAGTCAATTTTACACTCTTATCAATGTGAATGTTAACATGTCAATGTGAATATTGACATTTCAACAGGCCGGGCCGGCCCACCCACGGGCCGTGGGCGTGTTTCGGACAACCACGGGGCACGGACTAATGTTACACTCTTATCATAGTGAATGTTACCATATCAATGTGAATATTCACGTTGTCAACGGGTCGGGCCCACCCCGGCCCGGGCCGGACTTCAGGCTGCCCACGGGTCACGAGCCAATTTTACACTCTTATCAATGTTAATGTTAATATGTCAATGTGAATATTCACATTGTCAATGAGTGGGCTGGGCCCGCCCTGGGCAGCGAGCGGGCCTCGGGCCCCACGGGCCACGGGCCAATTTTACACTTCTATCAATGTGAATGTTAATATGTCAATGTGAATATTCACATTGTCAACGGGCCGGACCGGGCTCGTCTCGGGCCGCCCACGGCTTCGGCCGTCCATGGGACGTGCCGTCAATTTTACACTCCTATCAATGTGAATGTTAACTTGTCAATGTGAATATTCACATTATCAAAGGGCCGGGCTGGGCCCGTCCCAGACCGCGGACGGGCTTTTGGCCGCCCATAGGCCACGGGCCAATTTTATACTCTTGTCAATGTGAATGTTAACATGTCAATGTGAATATTTACATTATCAACGGGTCGGGCCGGGCCCGTCCAGGGCAGCTCACGAGTCGCGGGCGACTTTCAGGCCGGCCACAAGGTGCGGGCTAATTTTACACTCCTATCAATGTGAATATTCACATTGTCAACGGGCCGGGCCGGTCCCGACCAGGGCCCGGGCTTCGGGCTGCCCACGGGTCACGGGCCAATTTTGCACTATTGTCAATGTGAATATTCACATTGTGAACGGGCCTAACCGGGCCCGCCTCGGGCAGCGGGCTGGTTTCGGGCCACCCACGGGCCACAGGCCAATTTTACACTCCTATCAATGTGAATGTTAACTTGTCAATGTGAATATTCATATTATCAACGGGCCGGGGCAGGCTGGGCCAATTTTTTTGGCCTGTGGGCCGGCCCGGCCGACTCGAATTTTTCCGGGCACCCACGAGGATCGACATGGGCCGAGCCCTTACACATTGACGATATGAACATTTACATTGACGGTATGAACATTCACATTAAGGGTATTTTGGTAATTATGTCACCCATAGGACTTATTGAAACATAAGAAAATAATGTGAACTAAATGGAACATAAGTAGATAAAAAGGGTATTTTGGTTTTCTTATCTCAAATTGGACCTATGGAATAGTCAAAAAGAATATAGGTTAGATGGAATAAAGCTCTTAAAAAATGAATTTATCAAAAAAGCTCCCATTTTAATATTATTGACACTAAAGAGTATCATGATAATTTTTTAATCTCTTATATAATTATATCCAATTTATTAAAAAGTATGTAAAATATGATTTTAAGTTTAATATAAGTTTTGTTTGTGCCTTTAATTGAACTTAATATATTTTTTTGTCTATTATTTGAGTTAATTTAGTAAAAAATATAATATTTATAAATTAAGAAAATAAAATTAAGTTAAAACTAACTATTTTTATAAATAATAGAGATTGATTTTATTAAATTTCGCTTGTGATGAAATTTTTAATTTTTTTCATACATTTGATATTTTTAATTAATAGTTAAATTTTTTGACATGATATGTTAGAGCATCTCCAATGGAGCTCTCAAAACATTTGTCAAAGCTATAATTTAGCAATAATGATAAAAAGTAGGTCTCCAATGACTTGCTATTTTACTTACCAAAGATGATATATGTCATATCTATTCTCAAATTTGGCAAGTAAAATAGCAACCGCCAAACATGCCACATCAGCAAATCTGAACATATTTGTGGCTCCAAATTGAGTTGAAAAAATAGAATTGAAATAGTAGAAAACCAAGGAATTTTTCAAATTTAATTTTTCTATTTAATTTTTTTCTTCTAATTTTTCAAAATATTTTCATTTTTTATATTTGTCTAGTCAGGAATAATATAAATATATATTTTTTTACAAATAGTTAAACAAAGGTCATAAAAGACACAAAATAAACAAAAATAAAATTACAAAAAAAAAATTATATCCAAACAATACCTACAAATTAGGAGGGAAAGTTGGTTAAAAATTATCAAAATAGCAAGTGACTATTGGAGCGCCATTGCTATAATTTGACAAAATAATACTCTTTATTATCAAATTATAACAATAATAATAATATTATAGCAATAATCATTGAAGATCAATAATACAAAATAATAAACAAATTAAATTAATGTTAAAATAATTACGACACAAACCCACACAACACCACGCTGCGTCGCTGCCCCTTCCTAGCTTATAGGACAGGCACAGACATGCATTCCAATCCCATGAAACTAATGTGTTAGCTCCTTTACTGCTAGACTTTCCTTTTTGCCAAAAAAGAAATGGAGATGACTATTTGTACTCTCTCTCTTTTTTCTTTTTCTTTTTTTATTTTATTTTTAATAACAGCCTTCTAAATTTTGTGTATTAAAAATTATATTATATTTAATTTTTTATCTTAAATAAACAATATGAAGTGCATTTAAAAAAAATGTGCAAATAGCACTTCTTAAAATACTTTTAAATAATACTTGGGTCAATATATTTTTAAATATAAATATTATTTATTTCACTTCTTTATGCTATAAATCTCATGTGTATATGTGGGGCTAGTATGGGACGCTTTGAGAAGTTAGTAAAAAGTTAAATTTTTTTTTTTTGGACAAAAAAATTGACATTTTTGCTAATAAAATTAAAAAGCAAAAAATTGTTACCAAAAGACTCCTATATCACAATTCATTTGTGAAAATCCAAACTCATTTTTTTACTTTATAAATAAGTTTGGATACAGATGAAGTTTGTAATTATTTTTATAATTTTTTTTTAACAATCTAAAAAAGTTTATGTGTTTGGTAGTTGTTAAAAAAATTATTATTTTGCTAATAGGAAAGTTTATTTATTTGCCTTTTTGAAATAGACTTTTGTTTTTTGATTTATTTAACCAAAAAATAACTTCTTTAATTATAAGATAAAAATTGAAAAAAAAAAAATCCAAATTAGTGTGACTATCATGGTGATAGCACAAATTAACTATGGAATTATTCTATGTCGTGATTAGCATGGTAATACCATGTTATTAACAATGGGTTGATTTATATCCACAAACTACCCTTGGATAAGTGTTATAATGGCATGCTATGATTTCTTGTACTATAACTAGTTGTTCATGAATATCTCATGGATTTGAACCCCCAAAAAATACACCAATTTTTTTGGCTAGAGTTCAATTTGGCTAACACATATAACAAAAAAATGAATACAATTTTTTTTATAATTAATTAAAATAATAAAAATATTATTCTAAATATATATGATTATATTTTAGGTTAGAATTATTAGAAATATTCAACTCAAAATTAATTAATATTAAGTGAAGATGCCTCCAAATTATTTTAACTAAATTTTAAGTGATTTAAATAGATAATGAAAGATAAACTTATGCATACATATGCGACTCGATCCATAAATGGAGGAGGAGTGAAAAACAGACGAGAGAAATGGATATGAAAGAAAAACTTGACTTATCATAGACTATTAAAGACATAATTCTCATATTATATTAGGATAATTTATTGTCTCTATATCTCATCTTTGTCACCTTTACATAGAATGCATTTATGTAACGAGTTTATACAGTATCTCATTATATTATTCAAACTTAGTTAATATATTTCGAAAGTTATCGTTATTTAAGTGAAAATTAATTGATATATACTAGACGCTTTTTCACCCAATATCAATTGATTTCGAGTATAATATTTTCAATAAATCTAAGAAATTATTTAGAATAATCTAAATAAGTGTATTTTTTAATTTTTTACAAAAAATTATGTAAAAAATAGAGAAGTGATATAATCCAAATAAGTATACTTATCTAAGTACACTTATCCAGTTGATGCCAAATAAAAATCCATCCTATTATTTTAGAAAATATTATACGTAAAATAGATTTTTCATAATTTCTTAATAAATAGACATGAAGACATGATTCTCAAATAAGTATATTTATTAATGTTAAATTTATTACATTTGTGTACAGTGATAAATATATATATTTTTATTTTAACCAAAGTGAACAAAAAAAAACAGGTTTTCAATGGCTATAGAGTGGGACATTTTGCATCACATGGTTGTACAGTCCCCTATCAATATTATTTTTATTTATTTATTCTTATATCTGAAGCACTATTATGGGCTTTTGGGTCCTCATTAGTTTGCCCCATTTATTTCATTCGCGTGTAACTTCCGAACAAAACCTACTGGGAAGGAAGGTCTGGAAAAAATCATTTGCAGAACACACAAACACACACCCCAACCCAACCCCTGAGAGAGAGAGACAACTTCGTAGAACTCTAGAGAGAGAGAGAGAGAGAGAAAGAGAGAGAGAGAATCAAGAGAATGGAAAGTGGGGAGAGAAGCTAGATAACGAGAGAGAGAGAGGGAAGAGAGAAACTGGGTTCTGGTGGGAATTGATTATTGAGATCTTGTCCCTCCTACAATGGCCACCTTGTAGTGGACAAGGTAAATTAACCTCTGTTCAATAAATTTATCACTTCTCTCTTTCGATCTATATATATACATATCTATATCTCTATCAATTCACACTTTTTTTCGCCATTAACGTCTTGTAATCGAGCTTCACTGGATTTTGTTTTCGCTTTTGATAAAAGCGACAGTTTGGTGAAAAAAGTATTCGATTTTCGCTTTAATTTAGAAAAAAAAATAAAAACACTTCTTTTTTGATATATTTTTTTGAAATTTAAAGTTCGCAGTTAGGGTTTTTTTTTTTTTGGTTACTGAAGAGATGTGCTTAGCATGTTTCTGTTGTTGGATTTTCTAGGGTTTGTTCGTCGGATCAACGATCACTGGGAAGGTCTCAAATTTCGCAATTTCGGACAAATTGGGGTTCCGATCAGGGCACTGATTGTGTATTGAGGAGGTGAAGTTTAGTTTATTTTAGGGTTTTGTTGGAGTGACTCTGTAATTGTGATGCGAGTGTGTAATGGGCGCAAGCTTCGATCTTTTATAGAATCGACTCAGACTTGGATTGAGTAGATGTGGTGATGCGCCGTCGGGCATTGAAATTGCATGAGAGGTTGTTTTGGGCATTAAAGAGAATCACTTGTATAAAATTCTTCTTTGTAGGTGAAACCGTTCTGGGTTTTTGCCATTTTTGAGTGTTTGATCTTAATTGGGGAATGCTTTTGGAATTGGGTTTTGGTTACAGAGTGGAGGTGATGGTTCTGTGTTGGCTAATCAGGCAAACCAGAAGATCAGATCGTAGTGGACATTCTTCTTTCCTCAGAAAACCATTTGGATTAACCTAGTTTCAGCGGAATCTGTACCCAAAGAGTTGCATTTATTTGGGCGATTTTCCATCTGGAGTTTGCATACAGAGTGTTATTATTAATATTATACAGTATTTTGGATCAATTAGGTGCTTTAGTAAGCTTTTAACTTTGAAGTGAAATCTGAGCTAATCTGTACAATCCTGTGTACATTTGGAGCTAAAAAAGTAACTTGAATTTGGTGAGTTCTGAACTTTCTGAGTGGTGTAGTTCCGGGAAGTCATGGAGTGTTATTGAAGCTGGAAATGAATGTGGGGATATGGTGCATGGACAGGTGCATAGTTGCTGGTTCCTTCAATCATCGGAACAGTGCTGCTGGAAAGTAACTGAAGCTTTTGTGTTGCTGGACTTTTGCTCTTTTGCTTATTTCAACATTGTGTGCAATGTCTCGCTGCTTTTCATTTCCGCCGCCTGGATATGAAAAGAAGGCAAGAACTGATGACACCGACTTGCTAAAAAAGGTTAATAGTATTTATTGTTCTTGCTACTTTTTTCATTTGCCTACTTTCCATTATTCTTATGTGATTTCCATAAAAAAGGTTAATCATATGCCTGTCCCATACAAAGAACTTGTGTTGCACAGAGCATTTGAGGTCTATTTTGATCTTCATTCCATGGGACATTGGAATTTATCTTTATTCTTTTGCTTTCATGTTGAACTTTAGTTTAGCGCCTTATCATATAACTCCTGCATGTGCCTAAGCGAAGATCGAATGTGCTAGCTGAAGTGCTGGGTTTTCACTTTTTTTGTTGGGGGGAGGGAACTTTTGGTTTATTGGCCATATATATTCATTGTTTTTGTTTATTAGTTATCTCATTGCACCTGCAGGGCTGTTATAATCTGATATATCACATGGGACAAAGACATTCAAGGAACTTTAAAATAGAAAGTGTTTGCATATGCAGAGATTTACATTACAAACTAAGAAAGTTGCCCTTTTCAGCTACCTCTAGATGAATTGATCCGTGATTGCTTCCTTTACTGCCTTTAACACATTTTGTCCTCCTTAGATTTTTGCTGGTTTTCGATCATTAAATATCATTCAGTGCAAAAGATAATGACTAATTTACACATCTTTAGTGGTTGCTCTCCTGCATTTTCACTCTCACAAAATCTCCAGATGGTGAAGATATATGGGTGTTGTCGTGATTGTGATTTTTAATCTTGAGAAGTTAACCAATCTTGTAAGAAGTGCATCATTATGTTAATTGCAGGACTTTCTAGCACCATGATTGGATGATTTTGGTGCTATTCATACATAACAATAAAGAAATTTGATATAGGGATATTGAGCATTCCTTTCAATCTACACTATTTGCACCATGAAGTTGTTTTTAGCTTAAGCATCAAAGTCCTGTCTTTATGATTTGTACGAAATATATTCATATTTGAGTTAGTGAATGAGAGTTCTACATAGCTGGTGAACTTGTGAGTGATTTAGTAGAGGTAGCCAATATCTTTGTTAATAGTGCTCGAGAATTTTGAAAAGAAAAAAGAGGTGACTTTTTTGTACTTATCAAAAAAAAAAGAAAAAGAAAAAAGAAAAAAGAAAAAAAGCCTTTCTAGTTTGTGCTTTGTATTGGCATTAGGCTGAGTAATGGAAAAAAAAGAAACTTTTTAGTTAATATTTCTGGGCAAACTTAGTTGTTTTTTTTCTGTTCTTGAACTGACATTGTGGCAATGGAAATGTTATTAATCATGACTCTGTTGTCATAAAACCTTGGTTAGATTGATACAAAGTTCTCACTAAGATGATATTTTTATTTATCAAATAGCTTGGAATTTTGGAATAAAAGCAAGAGGTAATTCTGCTCCTATAGGCTTTTAAAGAGTCTAAGCCAGAAAACAATGGAGATTTGCTGAAGGTGTGTGTGTTTAACTAATGAATAGAGAAATATTAATATGTACAAGAAAAACCCAAATTTGAAAAGACTGCTAAAGAGTTATGCATTCTATGAGCCATTCCTTCTCGTTCTTAGAATGCGCTTCTTGTAATGATGAAAATTTTGGGGGCTGCTATTACTTAAAAGTGGAAGGATTTTTCTATATTAATTGTGTGAGGAAAATTTTAATATAATACATATAGGACATGGTAAAACCAGACTACATTTTATAGACATTATCGAGCAAGTAATTTTTTTTCCTATTCAAAAATAATATTGAAAGAATTTGGAATGTAATTTAAAACGTAAAAGGAAAATTAATTTGAATATAAGGAAAATTAATGTAACAATTGAGGATCATTTGAATGAGACCTAAGAAGCACGTACACTTGCACAAACACGGGACACAAAATTGAAAAAATTAGGATATGGACATGGTGGGGATATGATAAATATTTTTATATATATTTTGTTTGATACGTATATTTGATATGCATATGAATTTAAATTTATGGCATAGAGATATAAAAGGCATTAAGGATGTATTTTTATTTTTATTTTCATTTTCGCTTTCCTACCTCTTAGTTTTCATATACTTCACTTTCTGAAATCAGCTTTCTAAAATTATAAGAAAAGAAACAAAGGTGTCTAGAGCCATGTCCAAACAAAGGACACGTCACATGTGTCCGTGAAGTGTCTTGCAAAAATAATAATTTAAAATTGACACACCATGTGGTGTGTCCCACACGTGGACACATGTGTCCCCGGCATGTTGGTGTCCTATATGTATTCGACACAGACGCGATACCCATTTTAAAGTATCGGTGCTTCATAGTATGAAACTAAATTTATGAGGGAGGTTAACAAATTTGGGAAAACATTAGAAATCTTTATGTATTTGGGCTTGAGATTGACCAAATGGTTCTAAGTGCACAAGGCGGTTGCTTACAACAAGGCTTGGGAGAGGTAGAGGTAGTAGGTAGACAGCCTTTTTCCTACTTTTTTTGTGGAGGCTGATTTTCATAACTTAAACCTACGCCGCAAGGCTGGAACGGATAACACTTTCCATCATGCCATAATAAGTTTGAATTTTTTTGAAATAATTTCCACTTTTCACGAGAGAAAAAACTTTTGCTTTATTTTTATGTATCCAAGGAAGCCAAGTACTGACTTTGTAATTTTCTTTCGTCCATAATGAAAACTGAAGTTACCTGTTGGGTAGCACAGAAGAAGAACATGAGAAATAACAATCGAATATGCAAAACATGAGTCAAAGATACTCACAAAAACAAAAAATGAGAGTTAAAGATATACTTCATATTTAATGTGAAATTTGAAACGGAATCCGACACATATAATTGGTTTTGAGAATCTATATGACTTTGTTCGTCTATGTTATTTGATTTTGAATAGCCTATAACTTGCATTAGAGGTCTGCAAGGGCCAATTTACTAGGGCTTAGTTCCAGATGGGGGCTTCCTTTTCTCATGTGCACCTTCCTTCTGATTTTTGTGCATGACAATGTTGGCTCCTATTTTTTTAATATGGGAATGTTGGCTTCTATTTATATGTCAAGGAGATTGTAAATAAGTACTGTAGAAATCGGTAGAATACTGATTATAAGTTTTTTCCCTGTTTAGCTGACATTCTTCGTTTACTTTAATTAATGATTCAGAATATGAGGATTGTTAATTTCCTGAAGTATTTCATTTTTATTTTTTGGAATTGCCTTACTTGGTGTTGTATAGAAGGTTTTGAAATTTTAGATCATGGGATTTTAGATGGAAGGATTTGTAGTCATTAATTGGTTGGTGAAAGCATGGAGTAATTTGTGAAATTGGATTTGTAGTCAAATTATGGGAAATGTGACAAGGTGAATGATTTGGAAATTGATAGGGATGCCAAAAAAGGAAACTGATTGAATTATGTGGGAAACCAATAGTGCGTGTGAGGAATATGCGTAAAGGAAGCTATTATTATAGAGATTCTTAATTTAGTTATTTATTTACCCTTCAGCCACATCTATTATTATTTTATTTTGAATTTTAGCTTATACTATACTACTTTTCAGAGCATGTGAGCAGGTGAGCATCATGTTTTCTGCTGCTTGTACGGTCCGTACTTCATATTTAAATGTTTCCTGCCCACACTAGTTGTCAAAAAGACCACCTATAATACACAACTGGTTTTGATGGCACCATACAAGTTGTGTACTCATCTTATTGCCATCTCTTTGACCTTGCACTGAAACATGACCTAACCAAATGGCTACTCTGTTCTTTATTTTTTCACTGACAATCTATTCTTGACATTCTTGAGGCCTCAAATATTCATCAAGATCTTTCAGAGTGACTGAAAAAGTGAATTATTTGAAATGAAGCCACTTTAACGCTCCTTATGATTATGCTTTGAAGCACTGTTTGTCCCCATCCGTTTCAATCACATGGTCAAATATTTTTGAATGCTTAGTTGTGTGAAAGATCATGCTTAGTTGTGATGCTTTTGAACTCATAGGAGCTTTTAAGATTGAAATTAGGAGTTCTCCTTAGCAGTTAAATAATTATGCTTTATCTGGAGGCTGTGTTCAACAGTAATTATGAAATTCTATTTTTTCTTGAATTCAAACCTTTGAATTTTCTTTATACTGCATGGATAGAACTTTTAGGTTTCGTATTATTTTGACCAACAAAATAGACCCTTTTTCTTCATTGGACAATTTAGAGCTGCCAACTTAAAGTCAAGTTTTAAAAGTTTCCAATTGTTCTCAAGGAACATGATTCTGTTGATCTTCAATTAATTTTCAGTCGTAATTATTGTCCTTGAATTCTCTTTATCTGTTTATGATTTTTGGAAATAACTGTTTCCTTTACGCTGTGTTGGGTTGGAGGATTTGGGAAGAGATTTGGAAAGGGAAAGGGAAGGGGAAAAGGTAGGTGAAATGTGAATAAAATATATCTACATTTCACATAGTTTCACACACATTTTTTCTTTCCCTTTCCAAATCCCTTCCCAACTAAACACAGCGTTAGGGGATTGGATGTTCTCTACAATATTTTTTGTTTGATCATACTGCTAATGAGTTCAATAGGTTGTTGTCGCACCTGAATGCTTTAATTTGAACCAAGTGATACTGTCAATCTATTGTTTATAGGATGAATGGAAATGTGCACTTTTACCTTTGTGCAGTTAGAGGTCCAGTTTGTTTTACTTTTTTTTGATATGTAGATGTCCAGTTTGTTTTAAACAGAACCTATGTTCTTACAAATCGTAACCAGATAATCTTGTTGGGATCCTAGTTGGGTTCCGCTCAATTTAAATTCTAACCCAAAATTTAGATACCATGAAATGGTGGATGGTCATATGAAGCTGTGCTTGTGATGTCACTTCATTTCTTCAATTTGTTTGATAATTACTTGTCCTATTGTGGTGAAGTAACTCACAGGTGAGTTTTGCACCTGTTTTTGTAGTTAGCAGAGTTGGTACCTTCTCTTCCTCTTGTTCTTTATCTTCTTTGGATACAAGTACAAATTATGGATTTTGGGTTTTTGGATTTGATTGGAGAAGAAATATTAGTGTTACTGTTTTCCTGAGGAGACTTGAACTGAGCATTACCACCAGCAACATGCCCTACCAGCTGAGTTAGCTTACGTTTTTATGGTCAGATCATTTCTGAATCCATAGCAGTGGTGGTTTTTGTAGTAGATTTACTGGTGGTGTTTCCTTTCAGTTTGTGAAGTAAATTTATGTTGGTGCAATCAATTGTGATGAATTAATTCTGTTGCTACCATATCACCTTGGTTTGTTTTCAAAAAGTTGTAAATCAGTTTTGATGTCATAATGTAGCTGTTCCAATTCTCCTAAATTCAGCTTTCATGTTTTTTTATTTCACTTGTTATTTTTCATGCTAGTTAGAATCATTTGAAGACTTTTGAGGAGTTTATTATTATTATTATTATTATTATTATTGTGATAAGTAGGATAATTGGGGAGATATCCTTCTTATATCTAACATCCATTTTTTCACAAAGCTCAGTCCAGATTTATTCCCCTTTACCAAATTTTCTTCTAAAGTAAGTCATTTTGTAATTCATGTGAGGTTTTGGTTGTTGGTTGCATGAACAATTTATTTGAAGTCTGTTATGTCGACCTTAATTTGATTCTTAGCATTGACATTTTTTTGAATTGAATGCACCCTTTCTATGTTTTTCAGGAGAAGCACAGAGAAAAAAAGCATAAGAAGGAAAAGAAGGACAAGGAGAGGAGTGAAGGCAAAGAGAAAAGGGAGAAAGATAGAAGTGATGGAAAAAATAGAGAAAAGAAAGACAGGAAGGAAAAACACAGGGACAAAAGGAAGGATAAGGACAAAGACAAAGACAAAGACAAAGAAAAAGATAAAAGCAGCACGACAGAGGATAAGAGAATTGCTGGTCAATATGAGAGTTCCAATGGAGAAAAGACCGTTCACAAAGAGAGAGAGTGGGATAAAAGCAAAAGCAGTATTTCAAATGAAAAGAAACATGGTCAAAGTGGAGAGAAGCCTATTCGAAACAACTTTTTGTCTGCGGAGGCTGGGGATTTTAAATTTGTGCAGGAATTCGGCAGGAGGATTAGAGATGAAGAAAAAGGAACTGGGAGCCAGTTGGTTCAGAGACTTCCAGGCACAGAACAGAAAAATGATGAATGGACGGATAGAGTGGCGGTCAGGGATACTGGAATTCCTGTTGAAGGGAAGGAAAAGAAAAAGGAGAAAAGAATTGATAATAGGAAGATTGATGGGCAAGGAATCGGAGGTGAAGCAAGATCTAGTGGCAGTACAGTGGTCCAGAACCTTGCTGGAATGGTCCAAAATAGAGTTGAAGGAATGCCAAGACCATTGGAGAAAAATGTTGAGAGAAGAATGGAAGAGAAAGAGAAATCCAAAGAGAGGGAGGGCGGTGAGAAACGAGGGGACAAGCGGAAGGATAAGGACAGGGAGAAGAAAAGGCATGGGAAAGATAAAGACATGGAAAACGAAAAGAAAAAAGAGGAGAAAGTGAAGGAGAAAAGTGAACATAAGAATAAGGATCAGGATAAATCCAAAGAGAGGAAACAGAATGACCTTCTGGGCACTCAGAATATTAAAGCTTCACATGTTGCCAAGGATAGTGATAAGAACACTGGTACCACGGGAAATCTCAAGAAAAGAAAAGAATTTGAGGCGAATGGATTTTTACATGGTGAGTTTTAGCACAATTAACCATGATAATAACTGTTCTTATGTGTGTTTGAAACAACTTACGCACTTTGTTCTGAACCAGTGGAGGTAGTGAGACAAGTTTCTTGGCCTAGTGCCAGACCTGACCGTTCTTATAAGATATTTGTCATGTTTGTTCTGATCAAAGAAAACTTTTATATAACTTGGTAGCAACTAACTGGCTGCGTTTATTTCATGACATTTAATGAAATTTTCGAAGCTTGTTCAATTCTTATGACCCTTCTTCTTAGCTTACTAATTTTGCTTCCTTGTTGAATTGCCTTGCAGAAACTGATGTTAGGCCTAATAAAATACCAAGACCCAGTCCTCTTCCATCAACAGAGAATGGAAGGAAATTGGAACCTTGCCAAACTCCCATCCCATTTACTTCTGAAAGGCAGGGGCCACAAAATAGTCTCAGGGTCGATAACAAGGAGCACAAAGTTAATGGTGTGATAGAAGCTCAGTCATTGTCTCTCTCAAAAAAGTCATCATCTGCAACTACACAAGCTGATCATATTGCTCAAGCTTCAACGAAGCCACCCCATCCTGATTGCAAATACTTGAGCCAGGTACTCTCAGTTCCTAAAATGGAGGAATGGTCCGATTTTGATGACCAGGAGTGGTTGTTTAGCAGCAAAGGTTGTTCATCAGAGAAGCCTGACGTGGGATCTGGTGGGGTCACTGAGATGCCAAGTGTATGGGCTGAAGCTCTGCAGATAGAATCCGCTGATATTCTTGCTCTGCCTTATGTCATTCCTTACTGATGGGTATTGATGCGATAGAAGCTCAATCATTGTCCATCTCAAAAAGTTACCATCGGTGATTACACAAGCTGATCAAATTGCTCGAGATTCAATGATGCCACCCCATCTTGATTCCAAGTATTTGGCTTAGGTACTTTAATGGTCTAATTTTGATGACAAGGGTGGCTTTTTTGCCCGAGGACCAGAGAAGCCCACAATGATTGGTTGGGCATGATTGGCTGAGGTGAGAGCTCTTCAGACAAGCAAACTAGGTGAATATAGGCAGCATACAAGCACTTGAGAGATGAATTTCTGGTTTTGTTATTGCTGCATTCTTTCATTATGCACTCCTCTGTTGCGGTAAGTATTGTGTGACTGATTACCTTGTCTGAAATTATTTCAAGTGAAATGAAATCTGTTACACACGTTGCTTGCTCTGCAGTAGGTTGGTGTGTATTTGCAGGGGCTAGGATAGAGGGTGATTTTTTTGCCTTCTTGACTTAAACAACTAATTCATTGAAATTGGAAAGATGCCATGAGTTCCCAGAGGCAACAAAGGAGAGAGTTGTTTAAAATGTGAGGTGGTATAAGCTTGTGCTATGTTATTTTTTTATTTCCTTAAAGCTGAGCTGCTCTTTCTAATCGAGTGTAGAAGAAACCAGGTGTGGTCTTTGCAACTCCACAATTTTGATTTGTAACATAGAACTCTTATTTACAAGAAATGTAAGATAGAGGGAAACAAAAGAGGTAGCCTCATTCATTTGATTAATGTCATATTTAGTCATTTATAATCACATTTACTTCTAAAGTTTTCTGATAGCTGCTGTATAGTCTGTAGTTTCTTCTCAGTGGATTCTTGGCCCTTTGTTTTCTGTGTTTGGCAACAGTGTTAACCGACTTCCAGATTTGGTATACTATTTCCATTTTCGTGATATTACTGGTTTCTTCTTGTATTCCTTTGATGGCTTAAATGTTTTTTTCCTTCCTTCTCCTTTTTCCCTCTCTGCCACAGGGATGGTGGAGAGGTTGATTTGTTTTGTTTTATTATGATTTAGTTTTTGCATTTTAGTTCTTCATTTGTCCCCTATATTTTGAAGCCTTTATTTCCCGTGTTTGAGCTATTTGTTATTTAGACAAAGTCTTCCAGGTTAGACTAGTCTTTTTGGAAGTGGTGGCGGGTTTGACACATGAAATGCCTGTTGGGTATTCTTTGTCGTGAATATTAGGGGTAGGGTTGGCCGCGGGGCGGTTTCGGTCATGGAATTTTCAATCTGCCATCTGTCTGTCAGATTGGTAGATTAGAGAAAATCAATTCGCATCCGTCCGCTAATCCATCGGATGTGGATTGAGCAGATTGGCGGTTTGGCGGATGGATGCGAATCAGTTTGGCGGTTTAAGATTTTATAAATTTTCAATATAATTCAACTTGTGCACTTCTTCTTCTTCTTCTTCTTCAAAAAAAAAAAGAAAGTATTATAGTCAATGACTTAAAAAATTATTATAATCACTGTATATCTCATCCAAAAAAAAAAGTTTGAAACTTTAAAATATCACAATCGCTGCATGGCTCATCCACATATTACAATCACAGCATGATTCATTTACATAAAGTATTACAATCTGTGGTTTTTAAAATATAATAACAATTCAAACTACCAAAATCAATGATTCATTCACATAAAGTATTATAATTTGTGGTTCTTAAAATATAATAACAATTCAAATGACCAAAATCATGGACATGGCAGTAATAGAGATTGTATGTCTCTATATTGTTACATCTATATATGTTTTTGAAAATAAAAATCAATCATCATATATCATATTTTTTATTTATTATTTTTAGAGTTAAATTTAAAAACAAAAAATATAGATAAATAATACGTTTATTTTTTTCAATTCAAAAATATATTCAAGTTAAAAACTTTTTTCAACAGAATATTTAAATTCTTTTTTAATTGAAAACACAAACAAAATACTTAAATAAATTACAAACATAAAATCTTATAAATTATTATGGGGTGCTCACGGTTTGACAGTTCGGTTGCGGTCAAAAGAATCTCAAATTCGCCATCCGTCTGTCAAATTGGCGGATTGGAGAAAATCAATCCGCAATCGTTCGCTCGTCATCACGCATCCATCCAAAATGCGGCGGTTCGGTTTGATTCGATCAATTTTGACGAATCGATATATCCGCTGCTCACCCCTAGTGAATATAACTTCTTGTTGTGCAAAAGTCATTTCTTATTTTGATTTCAGGTCTAGAAAGAAGACTATTGTTTGCCTTTCATGTTGTACTTTCCCAATACCCCTCTGCATACAATACAGCTTCCTTGGCTAGAAATTGGGGAGGACAAGTGGATTTTTATCGGATTTGGCATTCCCTAACCCCAAACCCCACCCCCGCCCCAGTTCTTCGAGAGACCTTACTTTCTCTATTTGACTCCCTCATTGCAACAATTAAGATTCACTTTAAGAGAATCTAATAATTTAGATTACTTTATTAAAAAATTTAGAAAGTAAAAAGTAATTTTTTTTTTTGAAGTGATATGAGTCATTAGATTCTCTTAGGATTCTCTTATAGTGAATTTTAACAGTTGGAAAGAAGGGTCCAGTGGAGAAGGCAAGGGAAGAATCCTTGCTTCAGTTCTTCACCCCCACCCCCGCAATAGGGCAATGTTTTTCACTCCCAGCCCACACCTCAAGCATCCGAGCCCATTCCAATCGCCAGACCAGAAGTTCAAGAACCTTTTTGTGCTATTTGGGTCTTTGTCTGTATTTTTTTATTTCTTTTTTTCATGTCTTTGAAACAATTCCCTACCTTATCAACAATTATGTTTTTGTTTTCAGAAAGCTGAATCTGGTTTTTTAGATGTATTTAAACAATATGAGTTTTTGAAAATTTATACTATCCACTCAATTTTAGCAATGTTTGATATTCAAGAAGACTCTGTAAATACTAACTTAAGAAGGGGTAGTACAAAAAAAAAAAAAAAAAAAAAAAAAAAAAAAAAAAAAAAAAAAAAAAAAAAAAGGAAGTAAATTAAATTGACCGGTCCGAAGTTTTAAAAAATTTAATGAGTTCTACAAGTTTAGGATAATCACACCGAACACTTGCACAAATTTTTAAAAAAACAAAAATTACAATTAGTTTGTTTGGTTTGAATTTTTTGGATTAAATTTTTTGAAAATTGATTTTTTTAGTTTTCGTTTTTTTTTAGTGAATATTTTTTAAATTTTAAACATTTTTTTTAATTTTTTAGATGCATTTTTTTTTTTGGGTGAATAAATGCACCTTACTTAGATATATCTAAAAAGTAAAAAATTTATGAAAAAATATTTTAAAAAATTAATAAATACATAAAAATATAAAAAATGTACTGAATTTTTGTATTTTTTTTATATTTTTGGTATTTAGTGAATTTTTAAAAGATTTTTTTTTACAATTTTTTTTTTTTTTACTTTTTAGGTGTATTTATGTTAGGTGTGTCTAAAAAGTAAAAAAATTGCTTAAAATATTAAAAAAATTTAGTAAAAATAAAAAAACTCGAAAAATAATAAAGTAAAATTTTTTGAAAAATATTTTTTAAAAAATGGAAACAAGCAAGGTGAATAATACGCACCAAATATGATCCTAATATTATATATCCATTTTACTAGTTTGGAGTGTCAGTATCAAGTCTGGGGATTCAGATTTGTGCCATGAATTAAATTGTGTGGGTGTTTGAAAAATGGATTTTTATGTAGGTTTTTTTAGTTGTAGAATATTATTGGAGAATTTTTTTTTTTTGTGTTTGGAAAAATAGTTGAGTTTTTTTATGGTTAGATATGATGTTTGTGAGAGAAAAATTGAAATAATTATGGGATTGGATGCGATATTTTGTTTAGATGTGTTTTTTTTGATTTCGCAAAAAGTTCGTCTTTTAATGGAAAAAATCAAAAAAAAAAATTCCAAACCTAAGTTCCCAAACACCTAGTGAAAATTAAACGAGTATATTATAGAATTTATATGTAAAATAAATCTAAATTTATAGTATTAATTTAATAGGTGAATTATACTAACGGTCTTTATAGTTTTGGACTCGTGTCACTTTGATTTCTAACTTTTCAATTGTGATACATATGACCTTAAATTTTGAATCTTGTTTCAAATAAGGGCAATTGAAGATATCATTACTTAATTTCAATGTCAAAATCGTTAACTTTATAAAATATAAACTAATTTGACAAAAATAAATGTTAAAAAAATATTTTTAAATTTTTAAAAATTATTTCTACCCACCAAAGATAAAATTATATAAAATTAATAATTTTTTTAAACATTTATTTATTTATTTATTTTAGCAAATTAATTTTATTATGTGTTTGGATGATGATTATGTAATAGATGGTTGTTAGGATGTTAATGTGTAATCGATATATTTAATATATAAAATATTTTTAATTTTTAATTTTTTGATTTAATAGATTGGTTTAATAATGATATTAAAATTATCGCCATATTTGACATTTGAAAAAATAGAAACTAATTTAATAAAAGTAAAAGCAATCACTCATTACATGGTCATCATCCAAACACATAATAAAAATTAATTTGGTAAAATAAATAAATGTCTAAAAAATTTATTAATTTTATATAATTTTATCTTTAATAGGTAGAAATAATTTTTAAAAATTCAAAAATCTTTTTTTTTACATTTATTTTTATCAAATTAATTTATATTTTGTCAAATTAACGATTTTGCCTCTCAAATTAAATAATAATATCTTCAATTGTACTCATCTGAAACAAGATTTAAAATTTAAAATCAAATATATTACAATTAAAAAATCAAAAATTAAAATGACAAAGCCATAAATTATAAGAAGCGTTAGTATTATTTGCTTTAAGAAAAATGCTTGGGAGTACTAATTAGTGCTCCCACTAATTAGGTGGCAGTGGGTCCCGCCATTAATGATGTAATGTTTTGGTTGTGTTTTTTTTTTTTTTTTTACTTTTTTAATACATTAGTGCTATTAGTGGTGGTGTTTTTAGTGGGATGAATCATTGTTGTTTGCTTTAATTTAACCAAGGTTATTTCTCCGAGAAAAAATTAACTCTGGTCTCTAATCTAGATGGTGATGTGCCACCTGCCGCCGACTAGTGGATCACATAAATTTTGTTTGGTTTTAACAGGAGTACAGTTGGTAGTTGTATTTATTTAGACAGGGACTTAATGGACTCTACAAAGATTCTTCATTTGTTCAATACTTTAAATTTCCATCATATGTTGCATAGGGACACAATACAACAATAAAAGCAAAAAAAATAATACTATAAATAAACCTAGAAAATGTGCCGTAGCTCGAATATATTGGCTCGAATTGGCTCGAAAGTCCTCGCCTTCCTCGCCTCTTTTCTTTCTTCTTTTTTTCTCTTTTTCTTTTCTTGTCTTTCAATACAGACAGAGGAAGAGGAGGGGAAGAGGGAATGGAGAGAAGAGAGGGCCCCTCCGCTTCTGCCGTCGGCCAAGCCCCTCCGCTTCCGCCGTCGGCCGATCGTCGCAGCTCGCAGCTCGTCGCTCGTCCCTCGTCGCAGCTCGTCCGCCGTCACCTTCGCCTCCTCCGCCTCTGCCTCTGCCTCTTTCTTCTTCTTCTTCTTCTTCCTTCTCTTCTTCTTTTTCTTCTGGTTGATGTTGGCCCCTCCGCTTCTGGTTCTACTTCACCTTCATATTCAAAAAAAAGAAAATAAATCTCCAAAACGGCGTGGTTTTGGATTCGAGCCAATTTCGAGCTCGACAATTTCGAGCAACGTAGCAATTCCGAATAAACCCTTATCAACTTAAAAATTATTTAAAAATTAATTTCTATTCCCATAGACCTTACATAAATTTTACACTATACAAATTTATTTTTATCATACAATTATCTATCTAAAAAATTCTAAGCGGAT